GTGCGAACGCAAAACTAGCTTTTATACTGAAAACTCGGAGTAAGAGAGTGTCTAGAGAGTTCTACAATGCGAGGAAGGAAGAAGATGATTCCAGAATTGGCTCTTTATTTTGAGTTTGACGCTGTAGATTGAACAAGTTCCTTGGCGCTTTTTTTGTGATTGACGATCTTCGCCACGTGTCAGTTATTTATTGGCTATATATGGTTAGTTACAGTTAACTATGGATATATGGCAATATCGAGGCCCCCGTTTTAAACGACCAGTTTTTAGGCTAAATGAGGGCTCAGCCCAGACTACCTTAAATTATATTGCTTTTTAAAAAAACTGAATAAATCCTTTAAAAAAATGATAATTTAACTTGTTATAAAATAACGAAATTAAACAATATATAAATTCTTACGTTGTATATATATTTCTAAATGTAACAAAATTTTATGCCTCTGTATTATAAGTACCTAAAATCTACTGGTAAAAATATCAAATTTATTAGTACTAAATCTTATATTATAATATTTTAATTTTATATTAAAAATATATATAATTATTTAATATTAGTATAAATATTAAAATTATATATTACTAATAATTTGATTTAAAGTTTTAAAAATTATTAATTTTAATTCAAAAAACCATAAAGAATTAAGAATTATTGTATCAAATATTTTATAAATAGTATGACGTAACAATTTGAAAATAAATATATATATATAATTACTGAACATTATATCAATAGACAAAACATTAATAATAATTTAAATTTGAAGCGCAACGTGCATAATTAAATTAAAATAATTTACTTAGAAACTACACCTAATTGCAAATCAAATTATCTTTTATGATTAATTCATGCATAAGGTAAATATTTTGATACATTTCTCAATTTAGAAAGATTATTTAAATACATCTTGTTATCACTTAAACTGTTATTATTATGATATTTTACTTTTAAACTTAAAAATATTAATTAAATATAAGAAAAATAGGGAAAAAAAGTTGTGCATACTGTAAAATAATCCATATTGTTTTGATTTTATGATTTAGAATCATGAAATTTTTGTTTTATTATATAGGAAGAGTAGTTACATAAAATCACGAAATAGTTTTAAGTAATTGCTTCATAAATCTTATATATATTTGTATGGGTTAAATTTAGAATAAATATGAAGAAATTACCAATATATTTTTATTTTTTGAATTATTATATTAGGTTATACTTTCAAAACTTCAGTACGTACTTAATAACAATATAATTTGTTATATTTACCATACTGATTCATTTAATATTAAAAATTAAAAATAATTATTATCTGAAAAAAAAAAAAAATGAGAACTGAAAATAAACGCCTTAATAAAATAGGTTAAAATAAATATTGGTAAAATGTTGGTAAACGGAAAACAGTCAAAATTGAACATAGGAGGTTGACTTTGGTACTGTACTCGTTGACTGATACCAGCAAAGCATTTCGTGCATAGGAATAGGAGAGCTTGTTGGGCTAATTATAATCTCATGGACTTTTGGGCCCACTCCAGTTCCTCGTTATTTTCTAATGGGTAACGCATTTTTTATCGATTAATATTCGGGTAAAATAGTAAATAAAATTCCGAACCAGAAATTTACCACAAAATAAAAAAATTAAAAAAAAAAAAAAAAAGCAAGAGTGAGGAAAATTACTGCGGTGGACGGGTAAATCGCATGAAATCCAGTCCACCCCCTAGATAAATGGGCAATGCTATAAACAACCAGTTTCTCCCTTTTCTGTAATTTTACTATAATTTTTAACACACACAAAATTTATTTTTGTTTTTTTATTTATTTATTTATTTTAAAAAGTTGAAACTCCAAAATCCCCCATTGTTAACAGATCGTCGTCTTCTTTCTCTCTCTCGCTAGCTCTGTCTCTCTCGTTTTCCATCGCGGTGACCCCCTTTCAATCTGATTTTTCCTGGGGTCGCCACTTCCTTGAAAAGATTTTAATAAGCTAGTTACCTGAATTGAAGGAATTTGGTTTCTTCGCGAGAGGGATCGTCACTTTCACCACCATGTCGGAGATGGCCAACACGGATCCGGAGGGGATGGACGCCGTTCGGATGACCTGGAATGTCTGGCCTCGCACCAAGGTTGAGGCCAGCAAGTGCGTCATCCCACTCGCCGCCTCCATTTCTCCGATCCGCCATCATCCGGAAATCCCTACTCTCCCTTACGCTCCTCTCCGCTGTAAGACCTGCTCATCCGTTCTCAACGCCTTCGCTCGTGTCGACTTCACTGCCAAGATCTGGATCTGCCCCTTCTGTTACCAGCGCAATCACTTTCCCCCACACTACGCTATGATTTCCGAGACTAATGTCCCTTGCGAGCTTTACCCTCAGTATACCACTGTTCAGTATACGCTGCCCAGCCCCACTGCTCCCAACAACCTCGATCCCAGCTCCCCTGCTGCCCGCCCTTCGTCGGTTTTCGTCTTCGTTCTCGATACATGTATGATCGAGGAGGAGATGGGTTTTGTCAAATCCGCGCTCAAGCGGGCGATCGGTTTATTGCCTGAAAACGCGCTTGTTGGGTTTATTTCTTTCGGGACGCAGGCGCATGTGCATGAATTGGGGTTCGCGGATTTGTCCAAGGTTTATGTCTTCAGAGGAAGCAAGGAAATTTCCAAGGAGCAGGTATTGGAGCAATTGGGGCTTGGCGCTTCGATCAGGCGGGCGCCTGCTGGGTATCCCAAGGCAGCCCAGAACGGCTTCCCGAATTCGGATGTCAGCAGGTTTTTGCTGCCTGCCTCTGAATGCGAATACGCGCTTAATTCGGTGGGTTTACTCTTCACTGATTATCTATACTGGGTTTTGGGTTGAATTGTTCTTTAAATTGTTGATATTTGGCTTTTGACTGCTTTTGGGTAATGCAGCTATTGGATGAGTTACAAACCGATCAATGGCCTGTTTCCCCAGGCCAACGTGCCGCCCGATGCACTGGAGTGGCGTTGAGCGTGGCTGCTGGATTGCTTGGAGCTTGCTTGCCTGGAACTGGTGCTAGAATTATTGCCTTGGTTGGAGGTCCGTGCACAGAGGGTCCTGGCACGGTAATCTTTTTTGCTGCTTGACATGATCTCCTCTAATTTAATTGGGGTTCTTATTTTCTGTCATAATCCTTGTAATGTACTAAGCAGAAGACGGTTTTGACTGCATGTGGTGTTTATATTTGGTGTCTGAACCTCAATTTTGGACACTCTTACTCTGTTTTCTCATTAACTTAGGTGATCGGTATCAGATAGATGCACAATGTAGGAAATCCTAACATAGTGATATAGTGCAAATTGTATCAGGGATTAGAATTAGGCTAAAGAAAAGAGTCAAACTTGCGACAGCAATGCTTTCACAAGCACAGTTTAGGAAATTTGTAGTCATGGTTGAGCATTTCTAGATGTTGACTCGTGATACCGTTGTTATTAAGCTGCCCTTTTTTTAGAAGATTATTTAGTGCCCCCCCTCTCTCTCTCTCTCTCTCTCTCTCTCTCTCTCTCTCTCTCTCTCTCTCTCTCTCTCTCTCTCTCTCTCTCTCTTATTTTTGTGAGAAATTCATGCATTCTATATCTCTCAATGGAAAACACTCATCCTTTGATTATGAGTTGCATCAGGTCTGAGAAAATCCAATTGCTATGTAATCTTAATATTTAAGTAGGATCTTAATAGTTTGGGATTCGAACCTTTCTCAAATCATCATATCCTTATCACTTAACATCTTTTTGAAGTCAAGTTTAATTATGTTCATAAACATGATATCACTCTCATCTGTCGCTGCTGATTCTATGCTAGAAGGAAATTGAAGTTTCATCTTACCACTATGCTGATTCTATCACTTTTTGCTTTTGGAAAAGTGCACCTTTTGATGTTTACTGTGTTCTGCAGATTGTATCAAAAGATTTATCAGATCCTGTGCGTTCACACAAGGATCTTGATAAGGATGCTGCACCGTTTTTCAAGAAAGCTGTTAAATTTTATGATGGCCTTGCAAAGCAGCTTGTCAGCCAAGGTCATGTGTTAGACCTTTTTGCTTCTGCCCTTGATCAGGTATCTTTTTTCTTTGCCTTAAGATTTGTTATCCACCTACACTTATCTTGATAATTTATTTTATCTATTCAACGGTTTGGCTTGTGTAAAAATTCATCAATCATTATCAGAATGAAGATTCTTTGAAAATAACTTAATTTCAAAAGCTGGAAATTTATTTGAAAAGCTGGAAATTTATTTGAAATTCTGTGTAAAAGATGAAAAAAAATGCTTAACCTAGAAATCTGGGGATGATGGTAACAAATATCTCTTTTAACTTCCAAAGTTCCTTGTTATTGGTTTACCATAATTTCTTGATTGTATTTTGACTCTTTCATAATTTTCAGGTTGGGGTTGCAGAAATGAAAGTTGCAGTTGAAAAAACTGGTGGTCTTGTTGTCCTAGCAGAGAGTTTTGGTCATTCTGTCTTTAAAGATTCCTTCAAGCGTGTATTTGAAGATGGGGAACAGTCTCTTGGCCTTTGTTTTAAGTGAGTTCTGCTATAAAACTTTGGTGTTTCTCTTTTCATCTGCATTTTTCAAAAATCTTTGATGTCTCTTTCGGGTCATTCATTATGAACTAATATTTTGTTAATTGATATTTAATTTGTTGCTTAACCATGACTTATCTGCAGTTAGCCTTATTAATGATATTTCTAGCTAAGCAATTTTTGGTGCTTATTATCAATTTGATTATTTCAGTGGCACACTTGAAATAAACTGTTCAAAGGATATCAAAATTCAAGGGATCATTGGGCCTTGTACTTCCTTGGAGAAGGTTTGACATTCTCATGCTTTCAGAACACATTCTCTTTACCTGAATTGTGGTGTCCTCTACAAGGGTGTACAAATTATTTGTGGATTGTGATGGATGCCATTGTGAGCCTTGCAGAAAGGACCTAACGTGGCTGACACAGTCATCGGAGAGGGGAATACTACAGCTTGGAAGATGTGTGGCCTGGACAAGAGTACTTGCTTGACAGTTTTCTTTGATCTTTCATCGAGTGAGAAGTCAAATCCTCCAGGAACGATGAACCCTCAGTTGTATTTGCAATTTCTTACAAGGTATGCTGGTACTTCTTATTGATAGTATTATAATCTTGCTTCTCAAAACTAAATATATCTGTACCTCTTGTTTACTGTGTTGTACAACTAATTGCATTTTGAGTATCATAAATCTAATTGCAGTTATCAAAACCCTGAAGGTCAAACGTTGCTTCGAGTTACAACTGTTACCAGACAATGGGTTGATACTGCTGTGAGCTCAGAGGTCTGTTCTGTTTTGTCGTATTTATATGCTATGAGAATGCTTGCTGTATATTTGGTTAGTCTTTTTTTATCTTGCTCTGTAATAGGGCCTATTATTTGCTGGTGAGGGGATATAGGATTTCCCTGTTTTCTTAAAGAAAAAATTGGAAGAACAATTAGCATATTGATCTCATCTTCTTTCTCGGACAGTGTAGGGAAAAATACTTGTTGGAAAGACCTTAGTTGGAGATAATCCTTGACTGTTGGCTGGTTTTGTTTCCAAGTTTACAACAGTACTCAATGTGTTGCTTGCTGATATAGTGTTGATTAGTAACCAGTGTGGATGGAGAATATCTTCTATGTTTTACTTATTTTTGGTTCAAGAAGCTTTTGTATTTTGCACTTGATTGATTCTATGCTATAGAGTTATCGATCAAGTTTTACAGCTTCTGATCGCTTCATTATTGTATTCTCGATATTTTTTAAAAACATTAGTGTGTTATTGAACTTTGCTCTATAGATGTATTAACGCATTATGGACTTTGTTATCCTTGATTGACATGTTTGATGTTGGATTTCAACTGTGGTTGTTTTCCACTTCTAGTGCTGAGAAGAAAATATTATTATCTTTGCAGGAATTGGTACAAGGTTTTGATCAAGAGACTGCTGCTGTAGTGATGGCAAGATTAGCTTCATTGAAAATGGAGACAGAGGTAGTCATAAGTCTTATGGTCAAACGAAAATGTGCATGTATAGTGTTTAATCAATAGACACATTTCTTGTTTTGGGTGCTTCATTGCTAATGAAAGATTATTATTTGCATGTTGTTGGTTAAATAAGCCATGTTTTCCCATGGGAAAACCATGGAAAACTTGGTTGTCCTTTGAAAGAAGAAATTATTACCTGCATGCTACTTGTTGTTTTCTTGTGCCATCAATGGAGTGCCTTTATGCTCGGTGCTAACTTCTTGTCTAGACATGAGTCAAATGCTTCCTCTCCAATAGAATTATTGATTTAATTTTGTCAATGACTTTGCTTTTATTGCCTAATAATCTATTGAATTATGGATTCTGTTTGGGCAGGAGGAATTTGATGCCACTCGGTGGTTAGATCGGAATCTTATTCGTCTATGTTCCAAATTTGGTGATTATAGGAAAGATGATCCGTCTTCTTTTACGCTAAATCCGTGTTTTTCATTGTTCCCTCAGTTTATGTTTAATCTGCGTCGCTCACAATTTGTACAGGTATTCACAACTTACAATCTCTTTTTTCTCCCTTCTGTTTGTACACCTCAGATCAACTTTCATCTAAGGTTTCTCTTTGGGGGGTTTGGTGGTCTGCAGGTTTTCAACAACAGTCCAGATGAGACTGCCTATTTCCGCATGCTGTTAAACCGAGAAAATATTACAAATGCAGCTGTTATGATTCAGCCATCTTTAATAGCATATTCATTTAATTCGCTGCCACAACCAGCATTGTTGGATGTGGCTTCCATTGCTGCTGACCGTATTTTGTTGCTAGATTCATATTTCAGTATTGTCATTTTCCATGGAATGACAATAGCACAATGGCGTAACATGGGTTACCAAAATCAGCCAGAACATCAGGTATGAACTAGATATGTTGATTAATCCAATACATTTTTGGAGGCAATGGGTTCAAATTTTATTAACTGACATGCCTGCCACTTGTTGGCTGCTTATTTACTGCATAAAAGGTCATCTCTGGCTTTTCCTATAATATTCCTAATGGTATGAATTTTGTTTGGAGTTTTACTCTGGCGTTCACAGGATGTCAATCTTTCAACTTCATAGTAGCAAAGATGCAAAAAAAGAATATGTATATGTGTGTGTGTGTGTGTTTATTTGTAAAGCTTTTGCTTCTTTTTTATGCAAAAATGTTTGATTGGCTAAGAGGCCTTCAAAGGGAAAAAGGATGTCGTTTTGTGCTTCTTGTCAAAATTTACATTCTGTATTAGGCTGGAATCTGAATTAACTGACTTTTTAATTTGAGTTGACGACCTGGATGCCACCTTTATTGGATTAACTTCTATCAAAGGAAGTACAGTATTATTTGATCTGTTGCTTTAAAAAATATTTATGTTCTGTCTATAATGGCAATGCAGTTCTGTGAATTTAAATAAATTTATTTAGCAGTGGTTTCTACCTCAGAAATATGAGAACGGATATGTAGAAAGGTATAGGTCTCGACATGAATTTGGGGGTGAATATTAGCATTGTTCAATTTCTCTTTTATGGCCTTATAATTAAATTGACATGAAAATTCATTTGTCAAAATTTTCCTTATCTACTTCCTTTGACCCTTTGTATTTTTTAGCTGAACATGGAATATTTAGCTATTATGGAAATTCACTCTTCTTCAAAATGACAATTCCAAGATGAATGAATAATTTCACAAAATTTTTTGTGAAAATGAATGACATGACTCATAAGTAAGATTCAAGTGTGGTGGACATTGATCTCTTGAAAAAAAAAAGAAGTGTGATGAACATTGAGGATTAAAAAAAAACTGGTTCTTTTGAATATTAAAGTTAGATATTAGAAAATAGTTTCAGAAAGTGCATTAACTCTCATGCCTTGTTCTTTCCTTAAAATCACAAACTGTATTATGGACCTTCATGTTGGCTATGTAGACACCTGCTACACTTGCTTTTCAACATGGTACTTGAATGCTTGTCCATACACCATGAAATCTTATTTTCTTCCCTGTTTTCTTATGTAGGCATTTGCACAATTATTGGAAGCTCCTCAAGAGGAGGCACGGATAATCATCCGGGACCGTTTCCCTGTTCCTAGATTGGTGGTGTGTGATCAGCATGGGTCCCAGGTCAGTTTTTTACTTTGCCCTCTACTGCTATGTTACTTCTGATAATAGTAAAGGTTGTTTTCTCTGTTTTTCTTTTGGCTGCTAGTCAAAGGATTTTTGAAATTTCTCACGCATTTTTGGTGTAGTCTTCAGTCATATGCTGCAATTTACTTTTCCCTATTGTTAATGGAAAACTTATTCTTGTGTCCTTATCTTGCAACTGGCTGTGCAGGCAAGGTTTTTGTTAGCGAAGTTGAATCCATCAGCTACATACAACAATGCCAATGAGATGGCTGCTGGTTCTGATGTAATCTTCACCGACGATGTGAGCCTTCAGGTGTTCTTCGAGCATCTTCAAAAGTTGGCTGTGCAGTCTTAGGATGGAAACTGTTAAAAAACTTGTATTTGCAGGTACTTTTAGTGAGGAGATTAGATACGCCGATTGTGAGTTGTGTTCTCTTTTATTTTATATATCTTCTTGTCCATTCAGTTTTCCAGTCCTCTGCATAATCTTAGGATTTTCAAAACATCGGAGCCCATGCTATTGAAGAAATAAGTTTGAGCAGATGTTATTCTTTTGGGGCGGCCGGTGAGGCATATTGCTTATGTAAAACCAATAACAGATAGAGATGTCAGTTTTGAGTTATACTGGGGGTGGGGGGGGGGGAGGAGTTGTAGGAAGGTGTTGCAATGGGAATGTAAGTTAGGAAGGTGCATTATGGCACCAGATATCTCGGGGACAATCAGGAAGATCTTTTCACAGAATTTTTTCTTCTTCGTTTCTCTTTAAGGAAGTTGTGGATTTTTTCTTCTTTTGTGTATTGAGTCAGATCAGAGACATTTTGTTGTCTACCTGAATTAAGAAGTTATATACCAAATGGATTAGTTAACACTCCTAGGTGTTCAAAGAGGATATTTTGAAAACATCAGTTCTGTTCTGTTTGCTTTGGTGAATCTACAGCTTTTCAAAAAAAAATTTCTTATACCATATATATATATATATATATATTTTATATCTGTCTTCTTTTGTACTTTTTTGGGTTTTTAAAGCAACATTATTTTTAATATAAAATTTTAAAATATTAAAAAATTAAATTGGAAAGTAATTTTTGATATAAAATTGTTGAAGTCGTCAAAATCATGTGTGAGTAAACTGTTAAAACAATTCATAGAACCTAAAGTTGCAATTAAACTGAATTGCAGAGTTTTATATATATATATATATATATATATATATGTATATAGAATACCAACATGCTTGATTAATTTTAATAATTTTATAATATACTATAATATAATTAATTTAATAATATAATGTAATGCAATCAACTCTAAATTTTCCAACTCCATCATTATCATGTTATTTTCTTTATTATTAACTAAACATACATGTATACATACATATTTGCAAAAAATATATACGTAAATTTTTTAAAAAAAAAGAGTAAAAAAATTGTTCTGAGTTATGTTTGCTCAAAATATAGAGCCAAAATTCGGAGTTTTTTTTATAATTTACCTTTTTAATCAAAATAATTTTACCCAATTTAGAAAGTCATTGATATCAATCGGGAAGGCAAAAACGACACCGCTTCGTTTATATATATATATATATATATATATATATATTCGTTTATGTAATATATATCCCATGAGAGAAAGTTGCAAATTACTCTCCCGCGCAAATTCAAATCTGATACCTTCTCGTCTGCCATGTTCTCTCCAGAGGCGCAAGAACCAGATCACCTGGACGTCGAACCAGAGGAGTGGACCGGACCACCTCCTCCATGCGCACAAGGCCACAGCTCCACGCTATCTCTACCAACTCACGAAGGCGGTGCCATCTGCCTCCTTTGTCTCTCCAATCTCATCTCCAATCCTCGTTCTCCAACTCTTCATGTCTCCTACGCGCTCTCCCAGCTCTCCCACGCGCTCTCCCAGCCTCAATTCCTCCAGTGCCTTCTCTCCTCCCATCCTCACTTCCTCCTGTCCCCTCTCCTCCATGCAATCTCATGCTTTGACGATGATCCCATCGCTCATCAACTTATCAACCTCATCTCCCTGCTTTCCGCCCATTCCTCTGACATTTGCGCCGAATTTGTTGCCAAGCTAGCCGGCTTACTGTCCTCCGGTTCCTTGGCGTGGAGTCGCAGGCAGCTTTATGTGGTAATTTTTTCGTATTTCCGGCACCAATTAGGTTTCATCTTGAACGTTCCACGAAAACTTATCTGTTTTTATTTGATCTTGCTACTTACGGAGTTGAGTTTAGGAAGCACAGTTAGTACATAACATCATCAATATTTGACCTTGATTTCTTCTAAAAGAAAATTGATCTTGTTTCGCTGCAGCTTCATTGTTTTGGGGTTATACTGAACTCTCAGATTACCGATCTCTATGTGCACATTAAAGACAAGGACTGTCTTGTATCCAACCTTGTTGCAGGTCTTCAATTGCCAAGGTAGCATCCGTGACATGGGAAGCTTTCCTTTTCTTTGAATTACATGAATGTATTCATATTATATTTTAACTCGTGTTCTCCACTCGCATTGTTCCTTTTAAACAGCGAGGAGATTCGCGGAGAGATCCTTTTTGTTTTATATAAGCTATGCGCCCTGCAATACATGACAAATGATGGTGATCACGGGGCTGATTTTCTTCTTGAATTTTGCCCTAAGCTCTTGCAGCTTTCCTTGGAAGCCCTTATGAAGACTCACTGTGACGATGTTCGGTTGAATTGTATAGGTTTGTCAAGTTCTCTGAGAGAATTATTGCTCCTTTTTGGTGGGTGTTAATGTTCTGTATCTCGTTTTGCATATGAAGGTTGCCATTTTACTTCTGCAAACTGTACTTTTCAAGGGTTTCAGATGCTAAATGAATAGCTTTTCTATCCGGTAAATACATATGCTAACACGTTAGTGCATGTTTGGCTTGGTACCATTATCTGAGTAGTGGATATGATCCAAAGGCAAGAGACTCAGAAGCACCATTTCACGGGCTTTCAAACGATTTCTCTTATACACAAAACCTCAAACACATACACAGGATGCAGACATAAAAGTACACAGTATGTTTTTGTGAACGATCATGAGCATGTGTCCTTGTGAACGATCATGGGCATGTGTCCACTGTGCATGAGTGTGTAATCGCCTTTAACTTTATATCTTATGAGACAAATATGTTATCCTGCTATATCTTTTGAAACTTTTGTTGAGGCATATAGACTTTCTAGCAATATCTAATAATAGTTCTAAGAAAGCATAACATGCTCACTCATTCAGGTTTACTTCATGATTCCCGTTTCTGTTATTTTCTCTCAACTGACGATCTTTTATTTACCTTTGAAGCACTTTTGACTATCTTGGTAAAACAAGGTCTTTTCAGTAATGTATATGCAAATGACATCTCCAGCATGAGCTCCAATGAAGAAGACAACTTCATGCAAAGTACTGAAGATGAAGCACTAGGGCCTTCTATGAATCTCTTGTTTGCTGAGGCCATCAAAGGTCCATTGCTTTCAACAGACAGCCAAGTCCAAATTAGCACGCTTGATCTACTCTTCCATTATCTGTCTCGCGAGAGTGCGTCAATCAAACAGATAAAAGTTTTGGTGGAAGAAAATGTTGCTGACTATGTATTTGAAATATTAAGATTGTCAGGTGAATAAACTCGCGCTCATCAGTTGGAAACTAGGATCCATTGACATAACTGAGTAGTTGGTGAGAACTAGGAATTTAGATGCATACCAATTGAAATTTTGGATTTACTGTATCTAGTTGGTCATGTGTTTGTAATATGAGAACTTATTCGAGTCAATATTTGCATTAAAATAATAATATAATTGTTTGATCTCTAGTAAATTTATTTATCTTTCCCTCACACAGCCTCATACTGCAGGTTTTTTGCTAATGAACTGTTGCTGTTGTTGAACAGACTGTAAGGATCCTGTAGTCAACTGTTCCATTCGGGTCCTTGATCTTTTCTCCAGAGCTGAAGCTTTCAAACCTAGATTAGTTGTTGGATTTGCTGCTCTAATGCCAATATTACATTATGTAGCTGAACTTCCTTTTCACCCTGTTCAAACTGAGACATTGAAGCTTGTATGGAGCTGCATTTCTGATTATCCTGGGATAGCATCAGCTTCTCATGTTCAGGAAATAGTTCTTGGTTTGACAAGGATGTTAAAAAAGTATTCTGATGGAGAAATGGGGTTGCTTCCAGAGGCTTTTTTAGCATGTTGTTCAATCTTTGTTTCCCTTCTGAAAATTCCATCTTTCTATGAAAAAACTGATCTAGTAATGTCGGTACAAGAAGCATCTAGAAATGCCATTTTAGCTTGTTTAAATGCCCCCGAGAAAGATCCAAATCAACTCTTGTACGCCTTATGCCTCCTCAGAGAGGTATATGCATGTAGTCGGGTTGAAGAGTTTTTAGCCAACTCTGGTACTGTGGCACTAGGAAAATATATTCTTGATGTGTGTGCATCACATCTGTTACCTTGGTTTTTAACTGCCATCAATGAGATGAATGAGGAAACTATTCTTGGGGTGCTGGAAACATTTCATCATGTACTGCTTCAGGATTCTGACACCCAAGCCAAGAAATTTGCAAATATTCTGGCTTCAGCATCTTGGTTCAGTTTTTCATTTGGATGTCTCGGTTCTTTTTCTACGGAGAAGATGAAATGGAGGGTATATCTAATTCTCAGTTCGCTTGCGGATGTTCTCTTAGAAAACAACAGTGGACAACCCATTAGAGACGCTGCTTCTTGTCTTCCATCTGATCCTATTGATTTACTATTTCTGCTCGGGCAGAAGAATTCTGACAACTTAGAATTGTCTTCTTGCCAATCTGCAGTTTTGATGATTTTGCATACCAGCTCTTTATATGGTGACAGGTAATTGAGCTGTTATCATTATATTCCTTCTGTGTCTGGGTATAAAGCTACTACCAATATTTCCAAATAGTATTTGAATCTTTTCCTTCAGGCTTGCAGATGATAAATCGGTGTTAGCTTCCCTGGAACAATATATTCATCTCAACAGTACAGATCTTATTTGTAGGGAATCTGATTCCTCAACAACATCGTGTTTGGTTAATCTTTATGGTCTGTACAGGAGTCTGGGAAACACGAGCTACCAAATCCCTTATAGCCCTGAAGTTGAGAGGATACTCTTTCATTTATTGAGCGAGAATGAATGGGATTTAGCTTCTGCAGTAATGCACCCAATATCATTGCAATGGCTGTTTCAGCAAGAGAAACTCATCAAGCCTTTATCTTATCAAATTCTGAAATTTTGCCAAAACAATAGCTCGAATAGGAATCATATGATCATCTACGGAAACGAAAGTCAGAGAATAGATGTACAAATGATCTCTGAATTGGTAGCAGCAGGAGACAATTATGCAGCAACATCTTTAGTGTGCTTATTTATGCAGCTTGTTCAGGAAGAAGGGCAAGAATATGACATAATATTGGCTCTAAATCTGATATCATCGACCATTTTCATACTTCCTGCTGCCTCAGACCAACTATGTTCACACGAGATAGCCAATGCAATCCGGAATCTCAGTTACAGTTCAATCTATTCTTCTTCCCAACAAATATTCACAGCCATCTTACCTTTAATATTTAACATATTATGTTCTGCAAGTCCTGAAGCACTTTCTAATGATGAATCTTGGGTTGCAGTGACTGTGAAGGTGGTTATCTCAACTTTTTTGTGCGTGAGGATGCTCTTAATTCCTTAGATCTAATGGAATGGTTTCCCTTCTTTTGTAGTTGATTGACAACTTAGTCACCAGGGGGTCTGTAAATGGCTGGAGTCATGAAGGTCTTCTGGTAATTGGGATTCTTGGATTGATTTTGTACCGATCCACAAACAACTCCCTTGTAGAAGCTTCAAGAAGCATAGTTTTGAATTCATCTTTGGTCTCTGCAATCAACAGCAACATCAATGCTGCTTGCTCAAAAGGACCGGCTTTAATTCAATATGATGAGGGAACAAGCATGGGGAAAAATCTAACATTCATGCTGTTACTTTATTATTTTTTGCTAAAAAGGTAAGTTTATTCAACAGTATACCCTTGCATAATTGCAATTAATAATATCTAACTTGTCTGTTACCTTAGTTTGCCTATAGTTCTACCAGGGGCTATGGACTGGCAATCTTTCTTTGATCCGTCTAACAAGGTGCAACAACTACTTTCCACTATAAATGTCAGTTGCCATGAGTTGTGCAGGCTGATGACTTTTGGGCCTCCACTAATTAAGCTTGTCACTTCATATTGCCTTTTGGAGTTAATTACCAGACTGTCAGAACAGATAGATATAAAACATGAGGAGCTAAAATGCCCTGTGGCTTACCTAGAATCTGTAATGGCTGTATTAGAAGGCCTGGTCTTTTACACCGACACTAGAGTGGCTATGAACTGTGCTATCTGCTTGTCAAAGATTTTAGGATGGGAAAAGTTGGTCGTGCAGGGTTCAAAGAATAACTGGTGTAGGTTAATCGTGGAAGAGATGGCAATATCTTTGGGGATTCCATGTTTAGCATCAAACTCTTACAGTAATCATAATAAGCCTGCAGTTCATGTAACTGTCGCATTGCTAAAACTCCAAAATTCTCCTGGGTGGATGAGAACTGTCTTTGATGATCCATCTATAACTGGCATAATTGAAAACCTCGCCACAACAAATATCAGTGCTGAGACAGTACTTCTATTTCGAGAACTTCTGAATTCTGAATTCTTGAATGCTGAGCAAATTGCTGGGCTAAATCACCTGCTCCAGGTAACAAATCATTTTGAAACAAAATTCATATGGAATTGAGGAAGTGAAGATTCTATCAATATGATAAAGTTAGAAATGGATCTCAAAGTTGAGAGAAAATCGAAACAGAAAATTACATATGAGATGAAACTATATTAGGTGCACAAAGATCAATGTCAAATTCCTAGTCACAATCTACTTTCAATGCAGGCATGCAGGAAACGTATCTATACCAACAGTACTCAAGCTGAGCGGACTAATGAGCTTCACGTACCTAGGATTTGCTGCTCACCAGATGATCTGGGACAAGTTTGTGAATCTCTCATTCACTTGATGTCATCCGTGTCACCGCTGGATACCAATTCTGACTACGAGAATAGAACCTTGTTGGATGAAATAGAATTGTTTTTCAGGACTTTAACAGTAGAGGATGGTAGCTGAGCAAATAATTAGTAAGAGTTGATGCTTCTGCTTCAGTACAATTAGAGGTTCTTGTCAATGCTCCATGATTCACTCATCCGATGAAGTCACGAATTGCTTTAGTTCACTGAAGTAAACCCTGCACATTTGCAATAAAGAAGAAAGTCACACAGACCTCAGGGTTAAATGTAAAGACAGCAAGGATTTATAACAGAACTCACACGTAGATATCATTTGATTTCTAGGAGAGGGAATGATGTTTCCTGTGGCTAAAACAGCAACAGATAAAGAAGAAAGAAAAAGAAATAAATAAATGTCTCTTACTTGTTGATAGAAGTAAATGCTTATTGTTATGCTGGTGTGATTGTATACTGATAACTTTGCTGCAAGGCTGCAACCAATTGAAACTCCAAAGAGGGTTTTGGAAATTTAAGGTTTTCATTTTGTAAAACATTGTTTCTGCATCTCATATTGTGAGGTCTAACAGATATATAGTCAACCAATATTTTTTCTTCTTTGAAATTGTAAACTATTTGGAATTGGTAGAGTCTGTTTTGAATTATAGTTCATACTAATATACGTTCTGTCTGATGGGTGATGTCTAGAGATGGTAGAAATGGTTCTATATGCGTCTTATACCTGTTCAAATCTGAAATTCTGGCAGATACATCACAACGAAGTAAGAAGATTTAGTTTCGTCTAAATCTTCTTCATTTTATTATCATTCATATTCCATAAAATTAAATTTTTGTTCAAATCCAACCTAATGTTTCTAGGGTAAATGAATTGTATAAAGTTTGCGGTCAGATTAATCAAATTGTTAGCAGAACAAAGAGCCGCAACACAAGAAACCAAATGAAGTCCTTGACCTAAAAAACCACTCACCTTGATTGCATTCTTCACCTGAGCTGACTCGGGTATCAACCTAAATGCCACTCCATCAAGCTTTAGCTGAAACACCTGTGACATAACGCAATCCAAAAATTACAAAAAAAAAAAACAAATAATCAATAAAGAAATTAAGACGAGAACCAGACTCGTAACGAAAGCTCACCTTATTCAGAGCAATAGCAACAACTTTAGATCCTTCTTTCCGCATACCCGGGTCCATGCTCTTCATCTGCTGAAGAAGCACCTCCGCATCCTCCTTCTTGAAACACAACAACCCAAGAGATTTCTTCGTTGAAACACCCGAGACCAACACGAATTCCTCGTCCGAATTGCTCAAAGCATACACGGGTACCCCTGCTAACCTCTCTTCAATAGACTCATCGGACATCGAGGCACCGGATTGGCGAACGGGCGCTACCTGGGCCTTGCCATTATCGGCAATTCGAGCCCAAACCGGGCCACTCGTGTGACGAGGCAAATTGAGGTGGGAAAAACCCTCCCCGAAAGCTTGTCTTGCCTCATTCTGGAGGACAGATAGATTGGAAAGGAACTGGGAGTGGAGAGAAGAAGGGTTGGGGTTCGAGAGGGAGAGGTTTTGGGAGAGATTATGGAGGAAGCCAGAGCAATGGGTTTGGATGTTGGTGAAGACCTGATGAATATTTAACTGGAGCTGTTGTTTGGACGATTGGTTCATTTTCTCGAGAATTTCCAGGTTGTGCAAAATCAGTTTATGTTTTTTCACGGGGGATAACGGAGATGATAGGAGCGCGAAGTAGGGTTTTTGATTAACTGATAAATTACATATCAGAAGAGGGTTTTGGGAGGTTATCTGGTGCTTGATATAAGTGTCGAATCAAAAACAGCCACGTGTCATAATGTTAATGTGGGCCTACAAATCCGCGACTTAGGATAATAAGCACACAACAACGTTTGGTTGGTAGTGACAAAAATATTTACTTCGAAATATGCAAAAATAATATTATCCAAATGTTTATATAATTTAATATTATAATAAATTAATTATCTATCTCCACTATAAATTTATTTATTAGTTTGAAAAGGCCCGATACCGATTAATGAGATTATGATTTTTGTTTTTCATTGGATTAATGGCAATGACCCATTATATTTTCCTATTTAATAAATCCATAATTTAATATTTATAATCTTATAAAAAATATAACTATTTTAAAATTTTTGAATATAACAATTCGATTTGGATTCTCCAAATTTTTAATGCAAAATTTTCAAGGATGGGTTCTTAGTTTTTTAGATTTTGTGTATTGATCATTTTTCAGGAATTAAATAAAATTCAAAGATAAATTTTCATAATTATAGAAAATATTCATGTGAGTAAAATAATGAGAGAGTGAATGAATTGAAGAATTCCACTAAAATATTTCATAATTTTCATATTTTGATTTGTACATACCTGTATACATATATATATATATGTGCAGGTTTATTCATTAAAAAATGTAAGATATGTGTAATTGTTGAACAATCAAATATAATCATAAGAAAAATCAATAATGAAACAATAAAAAATAACAATTGTGAAATGTTTAAACTTTTTAAAAAGACAAAACCATTTTCCTTGCTAAACATGTAATTTTTTCTAAATTATTTTTTTTTATACGATGTATGATGAATTATTAAATTCTATAAATACAATTGGTATGTTTTAAATTTTATTTAACAAATATTTAAAATTTATTAATTTATAGATATTCTAATAAACACGGTACAATATAATATTATTAAAATAATTGTATTCTTACTAATTAATATTTTAGCAAGTAGATTATATTTTCACGAAGCTTTTTTCTTAATAATTACGATTTATTTATTTAGGTTTATTTACTGTTTATTCCAAGTACATTGTATATTATGTGCACACAATTAATGATAATTATTACCATTAGAATTATTTATAATGATTGATTATTTGGAATGTTGAATAAAATAATGTATCTAACACAAGATACATACATCTCTAACACAAAATGATTCATGAATTTTATTGTCAAGTGAATATTTAATTCACGAGTCTTTTTATCAATATATATATATATAATTATGTTTTTTATATACAATGCTGGTTGGGTTATTAAACATGCAAAAGTAATTTAACAAATGTGAATTATCGATGGTCCAAATTTCTAAATACAATGGATCTATATCATTACAAGACTACAAAAAAAAAATATACACATTAAATTATTTACGTAATTAAATAACACGACATTCACGTTATAATTTATTAAGTTTGGAACGTGTCGCAGTCTCTAATTACTTATATAATTTTGTTAGATAAATTATTTAAAATTATATTATTTATAATTAGTTAAAAGCAACTAAAAATCGATAATTTAATAATTGAAAAATAATTATTTTATTAAAAAATATGATTATTTTTTTTAATATACTGTGATAAATTCTATCAATTACAATGTCAAATAATGAATTCATAATATTTATAAATAACAACTTCAAGTTTATTATGAAAAATTTTATTTTAATAATTAAGATAATACTAAAAAAATATTTGAGTATTGAAATATAAAAATTTCAAAAAACATATATAAGACAATAATTAAAGTAAATATAAAAAATTCACAACATAGATTTCATATATTAAAAATATTACGTCATTTATTAAGCAAGTACTTGGAAGGTGGTAGGAGTCAGAAAAAGAGTAAATAGTAAAAATTGCAGGAGGACACGTCTGCACATCATAACGTAACGAAAGAGGCTTTAATGGGAAGCAGCAACCAAAGTCTTATCTTTTACCCAAAGTCGTTGAAAATATTGCGTCATTGAAAAGTTTTATACAATTATTATTATTTTATTTTTACCCACACCCACTAAAAATATATAATTTTAAACTTTCGGTTAATTTAATATAAAATCCAATCTCTGTATTTTATTGTGATTTAAAATTTATTTAAATTTATTTAAAATATATAAATCATGACAACATTTTTAATGTAATAAATTTAAATATCGAGAATAATTTAAGTGGGTCGAGTTAATTTTAAGTTATCCGAAATTATATGCTTTTGTTGAGTTAATTTCAAGTTGTATATAATTTTTATGTTGTTAATTTATTAATAATTTAACTTACCATTAATTAAACTATAAATTATTATAGATTAAGCGATATAAATCTTTTGATTTCATAGACCAAAAAAAAAATCTGTTGGTTTCAAGATAGTCACATAATTAAATATATTTTTTTTGAATTAATGAAAATCAATAAATATGACTCAAATTACAAAAATGGATAGATTACATATTTATTACGTTAAACGCATGAACGGGTGAGGGTACTCGCATCGGTGTCGTTTTGGGTCGGGTCAAAGTGGCTGTTGTCAACAAAACGACGACGAAAAACATCAAAGAGCCAAAATGGGTTCGAAGGAGACGTGATTGCGTCCGTCGTGGGGAACGTATCTCCATAACAGCGTTTTTTCATTGGAATTTGGACCAAAGCCAAAAGAAAAGGGTACCCGCTTTTTCCTGATTTGGGGTTCTCGAGTCTCTGTCACCCACGGTGATTCTATCATGTCCTTAACATAATGGAAGTCTAAGACCGTAGTGGCGATCAACGTTAGTTACCAGAGCACTAATGTGCGCCCTAGGTAGCTATTCGCACACCAAATTCATAAGCATTCACGCATTAAAGTGTTGTACAAAATAATATTAGATAAGTAATTTACCACAATAATTTATCATCATTGCTATTTATTTCTCAACGAGTGAGTTCTATTTGAAATTTATGTTTATTTTATTTTAAATTAATTACATAAAATTATGCCTAAAACAAATAAATTTTAGATTTAGTTACAATTATACTTCAATAATTTTGGGTTATATTGGAAACTAATTTAAAATATTATTATGAATGTTTAATTTACATAAAATTTAGTCCCAAATTATTTAATACTTTTAAAATAATCTAATTAAAAAATTGATAATAATTTAAATACATAATTGTGAGGTTATAAATTTATAAGGAAAGTAAGAATTATTTCAATCATTTACATAAAAGTATAATTTTATTTTAAATTCAAAATTTGAAAGATAAAACATAATTTTATAACCATATATTTATTTTAAACATAGTGTGAAATAATTATAAAAAAGGGTACAAGTACTTTTATATTAATTTTTTATTCAAATAAGAATTTTTGAATAATTTCAAATATATATATTTTCATATTAAAATATTTACCTTAAATACTTAAATTTTAAATCTAAAAAATGAAAATAGAAAAAGATTAATTGCCATTGTTTTGAAAGAAAATTACCTAATTGCCTTAAATAGCATATAATTTAATACCTTGATAATTCTAGAGAACAATAATTTTTTTTTTTAGAAAAGGCAAGAAATAATGGAGGTACAACCCTTGAAAGCAATGACATGGTGCTTTTTAGACAATTCATTATTAGAAGAAGAAAAAAAGGCCAGTGTCGCCGTATAACATGCGCACATGGGGTACTAGATAAGCCGTTATCGTCACCATCCTTCCCTATTCCGTACATGTGTTTTTTAAGAGTAGAAGAGCATTCCCACTTGACTCGCTAAAGGCTGGACCCTTCTGTTACCTCCATTTTCTTGGCCTTCAAAAACCTGCTCTTCTTTCTCCCTCTCATTCGCTTCTTTTCCACCTAATCCCACTTGCTTAACTATCTAATCAAACCCTTCTGTTCTGTCTCCTCTTCTCTCTCTACTCGTCACTGTTCTAAGATGGATGGCCAAGATCAGAGAAAGAACCATTTTGCAGGTTGATTTCTTTGTTATATTTTGGTTTTTTGTTCATGGGTTCACCATTTTTTCATTCTTTATTCGTATAGTAAGCCATATATTTTTACATACATAAATATGTAGATATATGTATGTACCTATGTATGCATATACCTGGTTTTCTTGTTTCTTTCAAAAACTCTATATGATTCTGCACGCGGCGACGGGCATTAGTAATTCCACGTTCTTGTGTTTTCTTGCTCGGGATTTGTTTGTTTCCTGGTTCCATTATTGGAAATTTTATGTCGTGTGATGACTTTTTTTATAACTTTTAGTTCTCATGGAAAGTTGGTGCCTTTTTCTTGATTTTCTCGTCATTTGTAGGGAGTGAGAGCCATGGACTTCATGTCTGCAGCAAATGCGGCTGGCCGTTTGCTAACTCGCATCCCAGTGCAAAGCAAAGGCGTGCGCATAAAAAGATCTGTGGAAAACCTAAAGGGTACCAGCGAGTTGACTCAGGGGAAGGTGGAAGTGCTCATGGAGTTGTTTCCGACGATGAGCACTTCTCTGATGAAGATTATAAAACCCCTAGTAAGTGCTCTTGTTAATATAAAAGTTTATATGCTCTGTTTGCTTGAAAAGAAGGAGAGAGAAAATGAGTGGGTGCAACTGGAAATTTGGGCCTTTAGAGACTTGGGTAATTTCTTTGGAGTTAAGCTTGGTTACAGCTGATCGGTTGAGTTAGGTTAGATGATAACAGATATGAACTTTTTTTGGAAATAAATCAAGAGGTTTTGTGAAATTCATACTCTGAAAATCCCATTTCAGTTGATAAAAAAATGAATTAACAGTGAATCCATTAAAAGTCTTTCCATTGAGTTCCATAAAACTTCTTTTAGGAACATAAAAATTTGCACTTTTATCTGGTTCTTAACTTAGTTTTGTAGTAAGTCATTTTGTAGAATTAATTTATTTTCATTGGTGAATTTGGCATTCAAAGGTCCAAAAGTTGTGGATAAAAGTAATAATGTGAAGGCTATTAGTGAAACTGGTGGAACGCAGAACAAATTGCTGGATGAAGTACTCAGAGATTCAGTTGTGGAATTTTCTCCCGGTGTTGAAGAAAAAACGAAGGGGAATACAGAACTAGCAGTGGAAAGAAGTGCTAAGAATGATCAGGATGCTGTACAATCTCTTGAGGATATTGCTAGGTCCTAATTGATCTTTGAGCCAACAAGATATTTTATATTACTATGTTGTTATGTTTTTTTGATTGATAATGCTTTCATATTTAGAATGCCAATTGACACCTAAAGTCTTCATGAATAAATATGATGCTTACTTGTTGAAAGAAGTAAATGTTCATATTATTTTGCTGGTGTGATTGTATACTGATAACTTTGCAGTGAGGCTGCAACCAATTGAAACTCCAAAGAGGGTTTTGGAAATTTAAGGTTTTCATTTTGTAAAACATTGTTTCTGCATCTCATATTGTGAGGTCTAACAGATATATAGTCAACCAATATTTGTTCTTCTTTGAAATTGTAAACTATTTGGAATTGGTAGAGTCTGTTTCCAATTATAGTTCATACTAATATACAGTCCATCTGATGGGATGTCTAGAGATGGTAGAAATGGTTCTATATGTGTCTTATACCTGTTCAAATCTGAAATTCTGGCAGATACATCACAACGAAGTAAGAAGATTGATGCTGATTTTACAGAAAGCACAACTAAATTTGTGGGGCTAGAGACTGACTCAGGAGAAATTGAAGATATCAAGCTAGAAAGTGGCCAAGTGTATGTTATCCCCTTTGAGGTAGTGTCTGAAAAGACCAAGGAGATAATCTCAGATTCTGTGTCGATTGATGGACTTATTAGATCAAATAAGGAGCATGTAGATCATGCAAATACTTCGATTGATGCTGCACAAACTAAGACATATGAAGCTCCAGGAACCAACTTTTCCACTTCTATTAATTCAATTGAGGATTACAATGGAAATAAAGAAGCAAACGAAAATGTAATCGTGCTTTCTGTGCCTGGTGATGTTCCTGTGGTTGACCAAGTTGACCTTATGGTTGAAGACTTTGAAGACCATAAGGGAGCGAAATTACATCAGTCTTTATTAGTAGATCCGTGTGAAACAATCAGGGAGGAGGAGGGGAAACTAAAACTCCCGATAATGAGAATGGTACTAATATTCACTCTAGAGAACTGAATGGGCATATTGAAGTGTTCGTATGCATGTTTTGGAAGATGACTGTAAACATGACGGTGGGAATGAGAAGGTGTCGTCAACGAGGGAACTGAGAGTGCAATTCATTACTTTGGAGAACCAAGTGAAGGAATTGGAGTCTATCCATCGGGTATGCATGGTTTGGAATATGACCATAAACATGAAGGTCGGAATGACAAGCCTGTGATCAACGAGGGGAGTGACAGTGTAATTGTTTTTTCTGTGCCTGATGATGTTCCTGTGGACGACCATGCTGAGGTCATGCTTGAGGACTTTAAAGACCACAAGGGAGTGAAATTGGATCAGTTTTTATTGGTAGATTCGCGTGAAACAATTGAGTATTCAAAAGGGGGAAAAGATGGACCTTATAATGAGAATGTTGCGACGAGTGTCTACTCTGGAGAACAGAGTGAAAGCACTGAGGTATCTGCATCAATTTTGCATGTTTTGGAAGATGACGATAAACAGGAAGGTGGGGATGATAAGCTTGTGGTCGACGAAGGGCATAAGAATACAATTGTGTTTTCTGTGCCTGATGATGTTCCTGTGGTTGACCATGCTGAACTATGAACATGGGAATGATGATCCTATGGCCAGTGAAGGGAACAAGAATGTAATTGTGCTTTCTGTGCCTAATGATGTTCCTGTGGTTGACCATGCTGAGCTCATGCTTAAAGTGTTCAAGGACCATAATGGACTGAAATTGGATGAGTCTCTATTGGCAGATGCATGTGAAACGATTAAGGATAGGGAAGGTGAAGCAGAAGCACCCGATAATGAGAGTGTTCGTACTGTCTACTCTGAGGAACCCAGTGAAGTCACTCAGGTCTCTGCATCAGTTATGCATGTTTCTGAAGATGACCATAAACATGGAGGTGGAAATGACAAACTTATGAATGAAGAAGGGAATAAGAATAATAGTCTGCTTTCTGTTCCTAATGGTGCTACTCTGACTGACCACTATGGTCTCATGCTTGAAGACTTTAAAGACCAAAGGGAGTTGGATTGCCTCAATCTGTATTGGTAGATTCATGTGAAACAATCAAGGATTCAGAGGGTGAACCAAAAGCTCCTGGAAGTGAGAACATTCCTAGTGTCCGCTCTGGAGAACCAAGTGAAGGCACTGAGGTCTTTTCATTAGTTACGTATATGTTGGAAGATGACCATAAACATTAAGGTGGATATGCCGAGCCCACGGTCAAAAAACTCGCAGTGATCAAAGGATTAGATGAAGTAGCAGCCCAGGATGATGCTTATAAAATTGAGATGAGAAAGGTGAGGAAACTTTGCTCGCCTGTGCGGCAGTAGACGCATAACATCAGTGACAATTCACTGCAGAAAGGTTCCTCAGAAGCTGTCATGGAAGTTTTACCTGATACAGGTGCAGAAGTCAGCCTTATAACCAACTCTTCAAACACTGATAATTATGGAAGTCATGAAAAAGCTGGGGTTAAAATATGTGATACTGTTAAACATGATGGTAACAAGACATTTGAAGGGGAAACTGGTGCAGAAAGCAAAAT